CCCCCATTCACGAATACCAATTGAATGGGGGTACTACTATAGTAGTACCCCCATTCAATTGGCCTTATAAGGCCTAGGTTCAGGAGGATTCCGGATTGTACTTAGTTTTGGGTCAGTTCAATGTCCTCCAAAAACCCTTCCTAAACTGGACGTATGGCCCGACCCGGCTGACAAAAATCCCGGGAGCGGCCTTAACCTTTGACACTGTCATCCACGAACTCCTAGGGTGGATCTACCAGCCGGCGTAAAAACTTCGGATCCAACAAACACAGGTAATGCTGTGATTTGGCGGGATACGCAGGAGAACGGAAAGGGGGTAAAATAACCCCGGGAGATCAGTGGATGATAATATATCTGGGGCCTGCCATACGTTCCCATACTCATACTCATACTCATACTCATTTGACACATTTCGTTTCTCCTGTTTTTGTATCGTCTATCCTATATCCTTTTTCTATGGTCTTAGTTGTTGTTACACATCATGCGTCGGTCAGCTGCTGGAACTTTAAATACCTTGTTAACAACACGCGTATTTAATTCTAGGCGCTTTGCAAGCTGTCACATAATAGGACTTTTGATTGTGATCTAAAATCATTTAACTGCCTGTGAAAAATTGCAACACGACTGCGTGGTTTGTAAGGTTAAAGTAAATTTCAAATTTTAAGCCGATATGCAAAGCTTCCGTATAACTTTTTAATTAAAATGTTCAGTGACCTTGTATCAGTTGAAAAATTAAATATTTAAATTAATCTATCAAACAATTTTTTGTTACCTTAACATCGTACACAATTTTTCAATATGCCAAGCTTCCAATTTTTTAAATAAAAAATCCGAAATTTCAAAGCCAGTTTAAAAATATATTACAAAAAACATTTTTTAAGGCTTTTTGGGATCTTCTCTTTGTTGCAAATTTACAGTTTTTTGTTAAAATTGAAAAAAATATACTGGAACTTTATATATATATATATATAGGTAATCATGAAACGATTTACTCAGTGAAAAATTTATTATTTAATAGCCCTGATAAAAGTGGAGAGACTTCTTGGAACTTCGAAGAATGATTTATGATGCTTGAGCCGGGAACTTTTGTAGAACATCTAATAATAAGTTTAGATTACGAGAAAATCGGAATTCAATTTAACGCAAGTTTTTCTCTCTGAACTTTCAACATCGTGCCCTCGGTATCTGCTTTATGTTATTAATGATGTCGGTGCGAATCCAAGGGAAAACCAAACCATACCTAATCCAATTGTTTACAACTAAATAAGACCCAATTAAGAGCTGCAGCTTCCATGGAAACTTTATCGGACTATTTGCTATTTGGTTACAGTTTAACAATGTTTGTTCTACCAAAGCGGGCATATTCAAATATTCATATATTCCTAAAATAGCTGTCAACTTTCAAAGTAAATATCTTTTGGAAAAATTTAAATATAAATTTATATCATAGATGGTCTATGGTTTTGTTAACAATTAATTGTTGACAAAGTTTCCATCTATGATAAGTATAAGACTTATACACTTAGTGTATTCTACTTTTGGGTAAAAATACAGTTTAAAAAAACAGTTTTGCAAAATTCGCCTAAAATTTGTATTCAGTAATTCAGGCTAAAGTAAAATTTCTTTTGGACAAAAAGTGCTCTAATTAATGTTGTTTAGGTATGTACATGTACCTCTGCAAAAAATAACATATTGTTTTATTTATTCACATACAGTTATGGTTTAAGGTAGACTTAAAGTTTCAATTTGAAGAATCGCGGAAAGGGAAAATTTAAAAAGGTAGGTATTTTTGTAAAATCACCCAAATTGTTGTCTGCGATTTTGTTAAAAACTAGACACAAATTGTTTCTTAAAATCGCCTAATTTCTGGGTCCTTTGTTAAAAGTATAAAGTATAATACTAAAGACAGCTGTATATAATTATAATTATAGATATTGTGCCTGGTATATTTTTAATAAAACGTCAAGATGCGAAACAGTAAAATTCACTATGCGCGTAACATATTCCATATTATATGATATAACAATAAAATTTTATTTGCTAACACAACGTGTAGCAAATTGTATAAATATTAATAATATGAATTCAGGTTTTATATTCAGTTTTACCATTGCCAATATAGACGTGCTTTAATACTGAATATCTATTGGAGTTTCTATAAAACAAGCTTTGGGTATTTTATAGTATATTATCATATTAAATATAAACAATTTAAGTAATGGTTGAATGACAGTTCAATTAATTTTTTTTTAAGTAAAATAATATTTTAAACATTTTAGCTTTTAAATTTAGTTTTAGTAGAAGTAGAAAAAATAATGTACTTACTCCTTATGTAACATTCTATACTTCCAAAGAGGTTCTTAACATGTGTAAAAGCCATTTTCTTGAGGTCACTAATAAACTAAATATTTAATTAATACTATTTTTTAAAACTTATTTTAATGGTAGACCCGTATAGTAATTGACCAAATGACTAGAATATACGAATTAGTTTTAGTTTTACTAACGAGTAAAGTTTAAAGTACATGGCTATAATATTACTTTGTAATATGTAGTAATGAGACATTTTTTATCTACTTATGCGTACCTACCTATATATTTTTATTTGTCATTATAATACTACTAGACATTTTTAACAAAATATGTATTTATCTCAAATGGCCACTTTTTTGTCATCCAATAGAGGTATCCTACTTTTAACATAATACATAGGTAATTATTCTAATATTGTCCTTTAATTCTTCAGTTGTTTGTGGTTTATAGATATGGACATTGGCTTTTCAAAAAATATATATAAAAAGTCTTGGAGTGTTAAATCGCAGGACCTTGGTGGCCTGTTGAAATTAAGTTACTTTTACACCAGTTTGCGTTAAAAAAATTTGGTTATCACTGTCGAATATCTTTTGCAGAATCGACATAAATTCCAATAGCCTCGTGTTATTAAACGTAGAATTTTTCTACCTGTTAGACGAAAAAACGACCCTAGTATTCACGCAAGGTGTATAGTATATTCATTTTAGTTTAGTTTGGAAAAATAAATAAAATTTCATTTTTTACAAATTCTTAAATAGACGTTTATTTACAAAAATTAATAATACAAATAAAAAGGCGTAATATGTATTTACAACATTAAAAATTCATTTCTTTCATCAAGTATATCTTAATTTAAACCTATGTCTTACATTTACAAATAATAGTCTTTGTATTTATGTACAAAAATAATACACGTTTAAAATATAAAATTACATTAAAATCAATTCTGTATATTAAAAAATAATAAAATAAAACTGTTAATAAAATCTTTTTGAGATCATCTTCGAAATATTTTTGAGCTGAATTAAATTAATAAAATGAACAAAAATCGTCAGATTTATACAGTTTAAAGTATAAAAAATATATAAAATATTTGCACATTTTCTATGATAATAAGATCTATGGAGAATGAGTATATCATAAAAAACATATAAGTAAGTACATTAAGTTATATAACAATAGTCAATCATGTTACTTTTCTTTGGCACAGTAAAGTAAATAATTATCTAAAGCTTTAAGATGCGATTCATGCAGAATTTAATATAATATACGTCAAATTTTATGAAACTTTCGCGCAATAAAACTTTAGATAGAAACATATATTGCACAAAGCGGAAAAGCAAATAAAACACTTATCTTATCCAGTCTGCGCAACATACAGAGCGAAAAGTAATATAATCAAACAAAAAAACATAATCTTAAACCTTAAAAATAAAACATAGACAACAATATAGTGCACAACAAATACTTATTGCAATCAATTAATCACATGTTATTTAAGATTCACCATCATAATTAAAATAATTGTCTTTCGTGGCTGAAATTAAATGGCTAGGTCGATGATAATGTGTCACTATAATTAAACGAAAATGGCATAACACTTTTTGCACAGTGAACGGTGACATTTTTTCGTAAAATTTTTTAAGGGGGTGAATACTGTTAGAGACTAAATGCAGTAAGGGTTAATTTAACAATTCTTGTTTTTAGATTCAAATTATCGTGAATAATTTCACGATAATTTGAATCTAATTATCATTGGAAATCTTCAAAAAACAAGAACAACTGTTTAAGGTTGATCAAAATGCGTAATAAAATATTATTATACGAGAGATTATCCCAAGTGTAATAATGTCATTATTATGCAATAGGAGTAGAAAAAAATATGAATATAAACCAATGATTTTATATCTTGAAAACTATAGGGTATTTCCATTGTAACGGGTGCAACACTAATACTGCGTTTTTTTATGATAATAAAGTTTTTGTTCATATATATCAAGATACGTTAATATAAAAAAATAGTATAAAAAATTAGGAAACAAAATGTCAATAAAAACTTGTATAGAAAACCTTTTATAACTTCATGAATAGCGTAACGGGCGCGACCCTAGAAAATTGGCAAATGCGACCAACTTGGCTTCTCAAGTTGATACTGTAAAATTTTGGATGAAAGCATATAGTAATAATTTTTTGTGTAAAACTTGAATAGTAACCTTAAACAAGCACGTATTTTAAATGCATACTTTATTTTCTAAAATTTTCTCAAAATGTAACAGGTGCGACATTTGAACATTTTATCGAGTATTGAAACTCTTCTGTATTTATTCTTAATGTTAGCTTCTTAGCATCACAATGTAAGAATATTTTAAGATTATAAATTACGTCGCAATTTAACTATTTGTCTTCAGATGTAGGTAGTTGTTATTTTGTTAAATAACACATCTGATTTTTTGTCAAGGTGGGTTAAGGATTCGTGGAAATACCCTATAGAAAATCAATTTAAAATGTTTTAAACATTTCCTAATTTTGATAAACGTAACAAGTAAACAAAATATTTGTTTTAGATTGAATAAAAAAAAATTAAATAGTGACCATTTTGTAATACTTAGTAATTTTTAACAGCATTTTGCCCCTTAAAATCTATCAATGTGAGGTCAGGTACTCAAGAAGATTAAGAATTTCGTACAGCACCACACACAAAACTGAAATGCATAACGAAACCGTGTTAAATTTGTTAAAATTCAATCATAAATATTTGCAGATAGAGTTATTATTATTATTAATTAATGGGAGGGTTAGCACATCGATTTGTCTTTTAGACATAGTTCTTGTTCGATTTATCGTATTCGAAGTTTCAGACGATTATTTCGCGAATCACGCGCCTCGTCCGCGAGTTAGGCGTCGAATAACCACTTTCGAGACTCTCCTCGTAGTTCAAGGACATGTGTTGCGGGGGCTTCTCGTCCTCCACCATTTGCTCAAGATACGGGTCTGGTAGGCCAGATACGTCGTGGTATGGAGAATCTGCAATAAAAGAAGTTTTTGTAAAGCTTTTCCTTATGTTGTAAGTCTATGGTGCTTTTACAGATTGAGTGAGGTTAGTGTTTCGCATTCTGGTTATACACCAAGGATGTTTTATAATAGTAGAAAAAATATAAAATTGTTAAACGCAATTTTATTTAAGTGTCTAGAAAAGTATAAACGAGTTTCATATTATACTTTTGCTACAACAAATCTTATTAATTAATTTAAATATTTGCATAGAGCGACATCTTTACAAAACTAAAGTAACCTGCGAACCGTTTTATCGGCTTTCAAAATGGCCTTTTATATAAAGATCAAAGTTTACCTCTTGAAATGGACCCGCAACCGTTTAAATAGGATGAAGAAGAAGTTATTAACAGTGCAAGTGAAGAGGACGTGTTATGGGTACTCTACCCGAAATTTTTTAATGCTTTATCGGCAAAGGTCAGTACAAACGTGCATATAAATTTATATGTTTAAATGTTAACATTTATATGTATAAATGTTAAAACTGTTAAATAATTTTGTATTTTTGTAATGAGAATTTTTATATTTACTATTATTTCATAAGAAGAGCAGTTTATTATGAGAAGTGTCCTTTGATAACTGTCAATTAACTTAAAGCTAACTTCAGTCCGCGATTAAAAACCTGGCTACAAATATATTCAAATATAGATGTGTGTTTGCTTTTTTACCACTATTGAGCTTTGGTGCTTTGAATATAAGCTTTCAAGTAGAGATAAAACGATTAGTTGTTTGGCCCAACTACGGATACCGAATTTCCGGCTAAATTGAAAGCCGTATAGCCAGATATCCGGCGGTGACGTCTTCTAAACACAGGTAGATTCGGGTGTAATCGTAGGGAAATTTGTCCTACCAATTTTTATATTAAATATAAATTTATATAAATTTTATGTGCTTTTCCCTCATTTTTACAATGTAATTGTAATTTTGAACCACCATTTTTTAAACTTATGTACTGTGCGATTTTTTTTTAATATTTTAATACGCAGGCATGCCGTTTCTGTTTTATCTTTCGTAACGTAAATTTTTGTTACCCTGTCCGCAGTTTGGAAATTTTTGAAAGTTTCTTCTACATTTTTTTATATTTATGGGTCATTATACTATTAAGGCTCTCTGTCATTGGTCAGTTGTCCCTAAAATTTCTTATTAAAGGACTATAATAATTATAGGACTAGAGTCATAAATAAAAACTTAAAATAACAAAAATTAATAGAAAATGTTTCAAATAAATATAAAAATATTTGTAATGTCTTAATGAAGGTTGAAATTTAAGTTAGCATCACACTCTATATAACCCCATGTCCCTATCATATTGCATAGTGAAAACTTGCATATATTTCATAGGTTTTGCATAGAACATAATTCTAAAATTAAAATGAAATAACAAATAAGTAACTCCTCAGTACTAATAAAGAATGTGATCAAAGGTCTGTGTTTAATTTTTTAAGCATGACCAAACCTTGTCCTTATATTTTATGTCTACTGGAGTTTAGCATTAGATATAAAAGAACTCTGTTACCCATTTAGTTTATAACTGTGGCACGAGATGGCGCCGCTGCAGGCAATGGTATCGCTATTGTTATTTTGCGCGTTGCAAACAAGCAGCGTGTGTTTATCTGGTTATCTTTCGTCACGGCATTTACTGGGTAAGTTTTTGCAGTATTTAATTTTTTTTCATGTAAAGTAAACCAATTTCTTTCTTTTTAACTAACGGAATGGTTTATGTGCATTAATTTTATCACTTAGAAAATAGATATTTTTATTGTAAAAATGTCTTCTTCGTCACATGCCTCTTTTGTCAGACTGCACTGCTATCGCTACGACATTAAAAATTAAAAATAAGAAACTCTTTAAGGAAAAATTTACTGCTGGGTCAGAATTTCTCAAACGGGCCACCTGAATTAGGTCAAAATTAGTTTTTGATTGTAGATACATTTTTTCGATAGTATTTTACATCACTAACACAAATCCTAAAGGATTTTGTAAAAAAAAAATTTCAATTGACATATTCATGATATTAAAAGTAAAAGTTTTTAGTATTTAAAAAATAAAAAAAAATCATTATGGCTAAACTAATTATCCGATTCCAACGATTTAACTAGCGTTGGAATCTTGTTTTGACATAGATTCTTTGTTATTTTTTTCAATTGTACAATTTTCATTTAGGTCGATTTTTTTTTGTTTTTTTTATAACAAATTCGGAAATAATTGGCTTCTGCGCCAGCTATCGACTCGAAAAAAAAAACACATATACTCCAATCATTTTTCGAAATTATGCTGCTGAGAAAAAAAATGGCCCGCAGGTTCCAGACCACCGTAAGACGTCGCGTCACAAGCGCGAACAGCGTACACGGTTCGGAGCGTGAGCTGACACCGCGCGCGGCCACAAAAGGACGAATAACTTTTTGTCAACCTGCGGGCCATTTTTTTTCTCAGCAGCATAATTTCGAGAAATGATTGGAGTATATGTGTTTTTTTTCTCGAGTCGATAGCTGGCGCAGAAGGCAATTATTTCCGAATTTGGTATAAAAAAAACAAAAAAAAATCGACCTAAATGAAAATAGGACAATTGAAAAAAATAACAAAGAATCTATGTCAAAACAAGATTCCAACGCTAGTTATATCGTTGGAATCGGATAATTAGTTCAGCCATAATGAATTTTTTTATTTTTTAATTATTAAAAACTTTGACTTTTACAAAATCCTTTAGGATTTGAGTTAGTGATGTAAAATACTATCAAAAAAATGTATCTACAAACAAAAACTAATTTTGACCTAATTCAGGTGGCCCGTTTGAGAAATTCTGACCCTGCTAATAGTAACATTAGAATTACCTTTAGTTTGCATAAATAATATTTACAAAGGATATAAAAATGTGAAATATTTATTTTGTAGAGGTAGATGGGGCTAAAATTATAATGACCCTTATGGAAATGTTAATTTAAAACTGCTGTGCGAATTCCTCCTATAATTTTTTTTTTAATTTTTGCTACAGCTCGAATTTTGATCGAATATTCTAATTAGAGATGCGACTTGAAAAAAAACGGTCCGTTTTTTTTGTTTTTTTTTCATTGTTTTTTTTCAAATGGTTTTTTTTCACATTTTAGGTTTTTTTCAAGATTAGTCCCATTTGCCTAATTTTTTATGTTTCCATGGACTAAAATTAGCCACTAAATCACAATTAGTAAATGTAAATACAGTCTCGCGCTATGCACGCGCCACAACCACCGATTTGACCAATAAGGGCCGCGCTTGTTTTGATTTGGTCCTAGAAAAAGTAACTACATACAATATTTTTTATCCAGCGCTTGATTTTTCAAAAAGCTACCAAAAGCACTTTTTTCATGATTTTTTTTTCAAAAAAAAAACAATAGCAAATTCTTGTAGAACATTTATTCATTGGTGGTCAGAACATTGGACCAAAAAATCGATTTTTTTTTATTACGGTATTAGAATTGAGCGTTGCACGTTTATCATCTAAAAATCTCAAAACTATAAACTTCAAGCTTCAAATTGCTTTTTTTACGGCTCCAATACGACCATTTTTAACAAAGACAGCTATCCGAAAAATCGCAAAAACTATTTTTTATCCTTTAATTTTTTGTATTAGTGTAGAAGTTTTACATTGCTATTGGTTATTAATGTGGAAACTACCAAATAATAAGAAATCAGATTTTTTAGTCTTGGACAAAATTTTCAATAATGATAAATGTAATATATTTTACATTTTACTCATAATTTTATTTTGAAAAATAACAAAAAAAAAATGTTTTTCTTCACATCTGAAAAAAACCGTTTTTTTACATCTCTAATTCTAATACGATACAGGAAAGTGCGCGCGCCGTTTCCGTTTTATTTTTTGTTCATCCCGTAGGCAAAAAAGTTTCGATCCAAAACTCCACATCTTATAACAAGTTTTCCTGTAGTTTAAATTAAAATGTTGGCTTACCGATATGTTGTTCGATACGCTTCTTGGGCTTGTGCACAGCCGCATAGGGGTCGCTGCAGTAGTCTTGTCTGGACGGATTGTTACTGTTGCGCATGTTATAATCGTCGCCATGGTTGCTCTGGGTAGTGATATGAGGATAGGGTGCGTAATCGTCGACTGCGCCGTAACCGCCATGCGTGATCGGATCGTAACCGTACGAATTCTGACGGTCGACGTTCATATGATGTGGCTGCAATTGGTTGTTAGAGTTCGTGGAAGCGGCCGCCATTTTCATTTGCCATAGAGAGTCTTGTGAGTTTACTGAACCTCCGTTGTTGGAGTTTGAGTAGCTGTTCTCTAGATAACCCATGTTTGCCCCTATAATAATAATTAAGTTTGTTAGAAATATAAAAATCAGAAACAGCATATACAAAACTTACAGTCTCCATTGTTGACATTCTGCCGTTGAGGCATATCCTGATTAGCTACATGATAACCATAACCATTTTGGGTAGCATATACAGTCTTCTGATCCTCCATGGCTAAAGCCAAATCTAAAGAATGTTCCAACGCCTTGTTGTCCATACCAGTCGATGGGTAATATGGTGGTGGCGCTTGATTTTGTTGAGGAACAATCGTTGGTCTAACTGAATCCATTTCGTAGTCTTTAGCTTGTTGAGATTTCTTTGATTGGTTGCGCTTGCATCTACAGAAGATCAAGAGAAGTCCAACGAAGAGTAAAAATACTATGCATGAAATTACTATGGCGATTAGAGTTGGTGTGGTTAAGGCTGACGCTTCACGTATATGAGCGTAACCAACTGAAAAAAATAATATGTTATGTATTATATAAATAAAAACAAGATCATTTCAACTTACATTCAGCTTCCACAAATTCCCCGCAGAGGTCATGATGTGTCCTTAAGCAAAGCTTAACCCTCAAACGTGGATTGTATTCATCATTAACACCAATAGGTTCATCAACTAAAGCTCTTCCAGAGGATCTTCTATTATTTTCATCCAAATTCTTCTCCTTGTATGTAGGTGTCAAACCAGATACTTGGAGTGGGAGGGTATCAATTACTTGCCACGCTGTTATTGGGTGGTTTTCGTTAGCAACTGATTCTACTATGGCAATCAATGGCAGACAAGTGGCTGGCACGTTAATGGCTAAAGTATGCGAGGCTCTGTTATAGGAGACACGTTGTGGTACTGGTATCCTGTCTACGCGAGTTGTTACTTTGATTTCCTGGGAATTTTCGCTGTTTCCTTTAGTGTTTAAAGCTTTAACCTGAAGAAACAACATGCTTTTAGAATATGAAACGAATATAAATAATGTTGAAACTTACCTTAAAGAGATAGCTTTGATGCTGCTCTAAATGCGAAACATTACATGGTACATTTTGTTGGCAATCGACCTCAGACCAATCCGTAGTTTTGGTCACCATTCCACAACCCTCAACAATAATATCATCATCACTTGAAATCTTCTTGTAGGATACAAAGTATTTGGTGTTGAAAATACCGCCGTTAAAACCGGGTTCCCATCCTAAAGTGACAAAGTTATGTCCTGTGTGTAACGAAACTAATTTTGTAGGCTTTTCTGGTGGTCCTTTAGGTTGCAACCTAATCTTGGTCTGTATATCACCAAGATTATTCACTATTTGGCAGTTGTATTCACCGTAGTCTGACTTTTTGATGTTTGATATTTTTAGAACGCTTGTGTAAATATCGTTTTCGTCTGCTTTAGTTTGAACTACATAGTGCCCTTCAGATGATGAGTGTAATGGGGATAAGTTAGTGCCAAAGAACCATTTAAATTCTGGTTTGGGGTAAGCTTGGACTCTACATACGACTTCAGCGATTTCGGAAATATCGTAAGCGACTTTGTTGTATTGATGTAAAACAATTGGTTCATCTATAATGAAGTTTACAATTAGATAATGTATTTGAATAAATTAATAATACTTACGTTCTATTTTCAAATGCATTGTGGATTCAGATCTTCTTACTTCATTTTCAAAAGAACAAGCGTATACACCTCTATCAGATGGTAATAATTCATTATTATTTGGGCGAGCATTTCCATGGAATTTCAATATACTTTGAACGGTTGTTGCGCCATTATTGCTTTCAGTGAACTCGGTTTTGACTTCGTACATATTAGCATCTGGCGTTAGTTCTTCGCCATCTTTCAGCCAACGTACCATGGGTCTCGGTTTTCCTTTTGCGTTACAAGCTACTGAGAATCCTTGATCTCCAACTCTCTTAGTCTCAGCGGGTTTCAACTTTAGTTTGATGCTGGGAGGAACGTGGACTTCCAAGTTGACCGACGCCATCTCCCCAGGTCCCAACTCGTTGGTGGCTTGACAATTGTAAACCCCCTCAGTACCCAAATTAGCGTTAGCTATCGTGTATTTTGTCCCAGTGGCGAGAATAGTGTTTTGTCCGTCTGAGCCAATTCTAAACCATCTGTATTGCGGTAGAGGCCAGCCTGGTGGCGTGGCCGTGCACGTCAAAGTAACCGCTGATCCTTCAGTTGCTATTGGTTTGTCGGGCATTATTCTGGCCTTACCGGGCTTGTGACGAATAAGTAGAGCTATTGAAACATTACCGATCTTTTCAGTTCTTCTAATAGGAACTGAACTGGGGCTTATAATATTAACGGCTCTACATATGTAAGTACCAGCGTTTTCTGCAGTAACATGGCTCAATCTCAACGTATCTCCAACTTGTCTGAAGTCTGGTTTACCATCCTTAACCCATTCAATTATCATAGGGCTTGGGTTTGATGAAACATTACACTTAATAAAGACACTCTCTCCCTCCTCAGCTTCTTTCGTTTTAGCTTCTAGAGTTACAATAGGGCCATATAAAACATCAAGTGCCATTTCCTTTTCGCCAACTTTGCCTAAACCGTTATCAGCACTACAAGAGTATTTCCCAGCGTCTTGTATACTAACGCGGTGAATAACGTGGTTCTCGGATCCGCTTATAAAACGTCCATTTCTTGTCCATCTAACGCTTGATACCTTTGGTTTTGAATCCACGGAACATTGCAAAGTCGCCATTGAATCTCTCTCAATACGCAGTGGGTTTTCAGGGCCTACTTCAACGCGTGGAAAGTCTGAAATTAATAACAATTATGCCGTTAGTATTTAAAAAACAGTTAATTATCTGTTTCATTCATTCCAATAATTAATAAATTCAGTTGACAAAACAAAATAACCGTTATAATTAATGCAAGAAATAAGATAATTTACTGCGAATATTAATCGGTTCACTTGATAATGCGTTGACCTATAAATAAAGGAAGCTATTAGACGTTTTTTAAGCCAACGCGTAATAAAATAAATTAAGGCAATAACATTTTATAGCTGAATTTAAATTCGAACTTAACTATATAAATTCGTAAATCCGCCTAATTAGAAATAGGCCTGCCAGCTTTATTTTCCTCATTTGAATCTGTGTACCTACAATTAGTTCCGAACGCGAAAGACGCGTGATGTAATTAGAGTGTAAAAATGATCTGGGTGTCACTATGCATTGCTATTTGTATTTGTAATTATCGGCGGCAATTAAATGCTCTATTTAGCCCATACCAATTACAAACAACTTTACGTTCGATAACAATGCATGCGGGCATGATTTAGGGAATATTGGAACAGGTTCAAATTAGGGTTTATTAGATTTTCGGATTTTTAATTGCAACAAAATGTTGCGTAGTTACACCCGATGGTTTTTCATTTACTGAATCGGGATGTTTTAGACCGATTTTATTTCTGTTTCATTATTAAAATTCACGATTTGGTTTGGGGCATTGTGGTTTGAAAATTTGGATTTAAATAGTCAAAATCCTCCAAATTCTACATATGTTTATGATTATGATAAAGGTTAAGTAATATAAAGAAGATATTCCCTAGCATAGAACTCTTTTAAAATGCCAAATAAAATAAAGTCATCATCAATCATATTTAGAAAACCCAAGGTTAAAATATTCAGATTAAATGTAAAAACATGGAAAAATGTTACTTACACAGGAAACAGTTGTTTTGTGAGTGTTAAAAAGCGACTTTTTCATGCGAGTGTTTAAGTTGCTCACGAGGCCGTTATGCTTAATTAAAAAGCTTTTCTCGCAAGTGAAACCCAATGTTTTTTCTACGACCCTTTTATTATTTATTATTTTCATATACAAAACAAAATGACCCAAAAACGTATTTGACAGCTGTTAAAATTACTTTCATCATATTCTTTTAATTATTAAGGTATAAGTTACTTAAAATCAATAAAATAAATTACCCAACAATTGACAAAAACACACAAATTTTAATAAAATCACGCAATTTCGAAAAAAAAGAGCTGTTGTGCGTCTGAATGTTAAACGATGCTTTAATTTTCTTTTCACACAGAAATGTCAGTTTACATTCGAGTTCTGCCTTGACAATGACAATGGCATTACGAAATGTGACTTTTAAATAGTGGTCGTAGAAAAAATTATTTAAATCTGACAATATCATTGGTCTGTTTGTTGCACCATCATCGAAATATACGCGAATTTGCTTGATTTATATGATAATTAAACTTTAGGATGTGTCCTATATATAATGGATAATTTGGATTTAGACGGTTAACAACCTACATTGTTACATATTTTATAAAGGTTAAGGTAAATAATGCAACTACATATCTCTATTTTAGGTCTTGTTTCCAAAGGGTTAAGGCTTAATTTTTATTAATTTGCTTTCTTATATTTTATTTTAAAATGTCAAACCAATTATAAACATAAAAATAATAATTGCAAAAAATTTATGCAATCTTATCGGTGTAGAATGCAGTTTTGAATAATAATTAATTTCGAGCAGCATATAATTACAAGTTGTTGATTTGGCTTCTGTACGAAGCTCAGCTAAAACGCTTTGTAAAAAATCAATTCCTCTCTGGAAAAACTGGTTTTGCCCGCATTTTTTTAAATTAAAATCGTTGTTGTCAACTTTATAATTAAAATACCAATCGGCGATTTGCGTAAAGCTGCAACGCGTAAACAAATAGTGCATATGGAAAAAATAAAAAATTGACTTCTGTCAGATCTATATATCCCCACTTTCTATTTTTAATAATAATTATTATTATAAGTGTATACACTTATACACTAGGGTGATTAAAAAAATCGAATATTTTGTTTTTTACTTTCGTCACTGAAAAATTGATCCTCATGCACCTCTAGAAAGTGTTCACCAAATTTGAGCTCTTAATATTAATAGAATGATCCTCCTTATCAAAATTTTCCAGTTTTTCTTTAGTCCCTTATAATAAAGATCATATTTTATTATTAATCAATCGTTTAATCAAATCTTTATACATATTTTTGTAAGAAATTAAATGCTCTACAAAAAAAGACTGATGTGTTTAAGCGATTACTCTAACCATTTAAAAGATATTCAAAATTAAAGTTAAAAGAATTTTTTTAATAATTTTGTAATTTATTGAAAAATAATTATTGTGAAATAAGTAAAGTTAAAATTCCTACGAAAATATGTCATACTTATTTGATAATAATTCAATGCAAAATTATTAAAAAAAAAGTTAAAAAAATTCTTCAAATTTTCATCTTGAATATCTAATAATAATAATAGTAATCGCGGAAACACATTAGAAAAAATTGAGAACTGTGATGAGGATCTTCCTATTAAAATTAAGAACCAATTTTTTAGTATCGAAAGTAAAAAAAATATTCGATTTTTTTAATCACCCTACTATACACATCCCAAGCAGCATTTTAAGTTTAAATAACTACAAATTTACTACTTAGTCAACTTTAAAGTATTTCTTACGGTTAACCAAAACGGTTTTATAACGGTATAGATACGAAAAATTACCAAATTTGGGGAATGGTTTATTTCGTTATTTTACCCACATAATAACCTTTTTGATCTACTAAGAGAATTACGTAATAAAAACAATATAAATACCACAAATTTACGTAAAAATAACGCTATAATTACTAACTGTTTGCTCTCTCTTTCTTAAACATTGATATTCGTAATTTCTTTGTTCTTTTAATTTATATTTTACAAAATGGTAGGAACTTAAGTAATTACAAAGTAATAAAGGCCACCCTAGGGTAAAATTAAAAAATATAACTTAAATTGTCAAAACCATTGATATTTTGCATTAAAACTCAAACGCACATTATTTTATTGATAAAAATAGGTACGATACGTCTTAAAAATTATATGCCCTCTAAATATTTTACGGTTTTAAGAAAAATTATTGCTTGGGTAAAAATTCAACAAAACCTAAAACTTACAAAATTTTATAAAATCTTTTAAAAATCATTTAGTTTTAATCATTTTTTTCATGAAAAAATATTATATAAATGTTTAGATAAGTAATGGATGCCATCTTAAAAAACTCATTATGGCGGCCTAAAAAAAATTCCCGCAAAGTTTTATTTTTCACTTTAAGCTTATTTTTCCTTGTTTAGTCAATATTATTAGTATTTCTTACCCACTAATAACCCTAAAAAATACCAGGCGAATAGGAATTATTTACGGTTATAAAGTGGTCTTAATATCGTAAAATTATGACTTATGAGTACAATTTACCAATAAGTAAAAATTCTGACGTTAAAATTACCGTTAAATTTTCCTTTAGGTGAAATACACTTATAAGTAATTTTCTTTCGTAAAAATTATGTCCCTCATAATACTTTAAAGTGTTGAAACTTAAGGGTTATTAAAATAGGTAAAAATAACATAAATAAAACTTATATTATAACTTTAAAAAAAGTTTTACTTCAAATTAAATTTTTAAGGTTAATTTAACAAAATATTTACTTAAATTAAGTAATATTGCCTCAAAGCTCTACGCTTTTACTTAAAATGCTGCTTGGGATATCGTTTAACAAATAAAATTGTGCTTTGAATGTTGTTTGCCATTCGGCTAAGAAGTCTGAAAAATATTTTTAGCCAAGAAGTTCTTAGCCCAATGACATAATAACTATTTAATTAAACTTAAAACTGTTTAACTTTTGATGGGCATCTTAGGCAAATTAGTGTTTTGGTATTTTTATTTCTTGATATATTATTCTTAGACAACTGCGATAAATCAGATTTTTTTATTTGTAAAGTTGGTAAAGTGCCATTTAAACTTCCTACAGACTGCTGATTAAGTCATAAACGTAAATACACAGCACAGAGGAAAAGATATATTCGCGAGCGCAAAAAACAAACAGTACAAATGTTTAGACGTCGGTTGGACAAAAACCGTCGGTTTTTGTGCGGAGTTCGGCGCTTTTTGCTTGCCGTGGAAAGATGAATCGACATCTGGCTCAAGAGTGTAAGTCATTGGCGTAGAAACGCCGCGTCAGCGAGGGAATAAAATACTTAAGCTGGTGGAGCAGCTTTGAAAGTCTAATGAGGAACATTTACTTTAGGGACGGTTAATAAATCCGGACAATAAGAGAAAGACTTTCGCCAAGTTGAAGGCAATGGAAATTTATTTAAAATGTTTATTTTTTGGTACGGCAATGGATGCAAAACGATACCGGATACACGTGTCTGTGTGGGTGTTTATATTTCGAAAACTCATATAACGTCTTTTCTTCGGCAGAGTGTTGAGCAAATATTCACCGGCAATTTTTCAAGCTTAAATTTATTTCCTTTGAGAATTTTTCTCGATTTTCTGAAAACAAGTAAGCAAACGATACGCAATTACACGCTACAAGACCTCCCAAATAAAACAAAATACGAATTTCGAAATTTCATTTCCAAATTTCACAAGGCACCTGATTAATTGAATAAGTTTCGGGAAAAACAAAAGCCGGAACAATAAAAAGAACATCAACTTTTTAGCTCTTGACAGACCTTTTCTTGTGTTTTATCCGGCCAGTCGTGAAAAATTATGTTTAAAACAATTTTCATTTGCCGGAGAGAAAAAAAACAATCTGGCCTCAGCATTCTAAATGGGAATTTCATTTCATTAAGTCATAATAACGGAAAGTTTTTAATTAACTTTTATTATACTTACAGTTGACGCTTAGTACGACTGTCGAGATCATTTTTTTGTCGTCTGGAAGAGCCCGATTCCAAACTTCACACCTAAATGTAGCCTCGTCGTCGTCTTTTGTCGGGGTTATACTGAGTGTTGCAGTCGTCGGTTGATCTCTGGACCCGCCGTTTTTCAAAGAAGCCTCCAGTGGGTACACAGATCCTGAAAACAAATAAATAAAGAAATTTAGTATTTTGCTTTTGCGCAAAAGCTTTTTTTGGCATCTGGAACTTTGTTATAGCAAGTTTTCTTATTTTATTTGGACTTGTATTACATTACATTTTCAGTTATTTTATTTAACTATACATGCAAAGTTCTCACACAGAGTGGCAGGAAGTCGGTTATTTTAAGTGAATATCGTTAGGAAATGAACGTTATAATTATTCTTCGTCTTGTATAAACTATTACACTAAAAGTGGCTTTACTTCTGACTCATTTAAATTCAATTGCTGTTTTATCAGTTTCTTTTTGGTTGCTCGCATCTGCCATGCCATGATTTTCATAATTTACATGATGGTTGTGATAAAAAGATGAAATTAATTATAATTACAGTTACATTTTCAATAAAAACTAAGATATTTACTTGATATTCCTGATATTTAAAAAACGAAACGTGATGAGTTTAAATTAAACTTTAATTGTAAACTAAATAAACCAAAACAAAGGAAAAAGTTTTTCCTTTTCGCGTATAACTTATAAAAGGTCGGCAAAATCGATTAAACAAATTTAACTTTGAAATCGTACTAAAATTAATAGTTTCCATAAACAAGGTACTTAAAAACTATCGCATGCTCTATTAAGCCCTATAGGAAAGAACAAAGTAAAACAAATTGGTAGAATGTTTTACACTTATTTCGCTGCACTTTTAACAGAAAAAACAAATATTGATAGTTCATTTACATATAGATTGGTATTTTGCATTTATATTTTCTGGGCATTAAAATTTTCGAATAATCCCACTTCTTTTATTTTTTTTAACAACTACAGAAAGTTTAAAACGTTAATCAAGAAATAAAAACCTCGTTTGCATTTTAGTCGTTTTATTTAAATTATATTTGTTACACAATTTGCAATTACATAATGCATTGTTTTACAAACTGTAAACAATTTAAAAATCTTGTTAGGAAATTGACACCAGCGATAAAAATATCAAAACATAACAAATACTTGCTGTGTAAGCAAACATAATTTTTCAAGTATGCCACTTTACTTGTAGAAGATTTAACTCGTCAACGAAATTTTAAAGTAAACAGGGTATTTATTTAAAAGCGTATTCCACCACAAAACATATGAAAAAGTTCCTGTAAAATAGGGTTGACAAGTGTCCTGAATTTAGGTTTTAAATCCTATTAAATTAAATATTATTAAAACATATTAATTAGGTTTTAAGTGGGTCATACGGGCTTGGGTTGGGTAGGTTGGTTTGACTTTAATGTAATTTACTGCCCGAGCGTTTTTAAAATACGCGCGCGCGAAATTGTGCTCATGCGCTAACCAAGCCCGCCTAGGCCACTTATAAAACCTTATTATAAGTTTTGTTTAATTTAATAGTTCAGATGGTAGAGCCCTCTCTTACGCTTTACTTTATTTATGCCTATTTTTGTTTAGCAAATTTTTTGAAGGGGTTTTTTACTTAAGTTTTTTCCAATATCTGCCTCCTGCATACTTTACTTAATTAGTTAGCTTCTGCTTACACCTAGATCTCCAGTAGTCCCCATATAACTATGCTTAAAAGGTCAGACAATTCTTTATCTATATGTCTTTATTATATATTATATCTGTATTTAATATTTCGCTTGGCATGCGAAAGGGGATCGATACCCGGTGTCTTCATAACTTTTTATTTTATTACTTTAATTTACATTTTAAAATAAAGTTATTTTTTTTTATCTGGACTGCGGCAACGTTGCAAATTTAGGGTTTTGGTTGGTAAATACAGTTGTCAAATTGGTCGCATTGATTAAAACAAACTAAGCTATAGCTTAGTTTGTTTTAATCAATGCGACTATAGTTATAAGTCTAATTGTGGTTATGTATAAATTATTGTAGGTTACATTGTGCAGTTGTCAAGTTGAGTTGTCGAAATTCGTAGTTAAAAATGCAATTAATTTGGCTTTGGTGGTGCTTGGATAAGTAAAATCATATAAAAAAGTAGTTAAATATAGGTTGCTTTACGGCCCAGAAGAAGAATTTATATAAAAGAAATTAAAATTTGTTTGTGAACGTAAATGTTGTCCAATGGTGAATAATGTGAAAATAATGTGTGATGTAATATTTATAAAACCAAATTCGTTACTTTTTTACTCCAAAAATGTTTATAAGGCGATGCACTTTTTCTTCCATTGTGGCATTTGGCATAATTTCATCAAAATGAAGTTTTGCCCTCAAAAGGGCTTTTTATTTATGATTGACAAGTTTTGTTGGCCATAAAAAGTTATGTAAAATATAAATAAAAATAAAAAAAATAAAAAATTATTAAATTATTTAATTAAATTATTTAGCAGAAGTACCATTTTTAAATACTAAAAATACTAAGTCAAACTGGCATAAGCCACCAACCTAACAAAAAAACCCGAACCAGATAAAAAAAATAATCTGTAAATAAACATTTAATTGAATTTAATTGCAATGTGGTAACACTGGGCTGATTAGCCCCTTCCACATAGAAATCGTTGGCTGACTAATGCCTCCTTGAACCCTGCCTATATATATTTTTATATAAAAGACCATATTTTTATGTTGCGTTTTTAAAACCTGGCAATAATTTAGTGGGGTTTAAAGTTTTTAAATATTTTTAAAATAAATAAAACACTTGTTCTGATTTTTAGGCAATTGTAAGGCATACATTATTTTTTTAACATTTTTTTATCCAACAGGCTTAATTACAGATATACACAGTGGAAAAAATACAAATAAACAGCCATACACATGTGGGATTCGATTCGAACCCACGACCTCTCGGCATGTAGTTTGCAGCGCTGACCACCAAGGGCAGTAAAATATATTAACGCGTCTTTTGAAGACAAAAAACAAAAAACTTTTTATTATCATAAAAATGTTTCTTTATCAGGACGGCATTTCATAATTTTGGTGGCATTGTTCGATAAAACGTTAAATAGTCGACATTATTAGAGCAACGAATTAATCTTCAAAGATTATCAGTGATTGATATTTCTATTAAGGCACGTTCATGCGTGTTATTAACTGCAAACTTTACAAATTTGTTAATAATACTGTTCATATTATATAATATTGACTTCAATTTAATTTTGATGAGAGATTACCTATTGTCAAATATTCACAGATCAGTGCACAAAGTGTTAGTTTAAGCCTGGTTTAGCTTTAATGAAAACTATGTACCAAGCTATTTTTTATTAATTAAATAAATAGGATTTTTTTAATTAAACACTTTCTATGCAACAATTTATTGTTTTAATAATTTGAAAACCACCTATATGTAAATAGGAATTTAATGTATGCAATAAAAAATCTGTTTTTTAAATTGACTGTTTGAATATTATGTATGAATATTAATGAGAGTATACAATTTCTCTTTTGGCAATTTATTTTCAATTAATAAACAAAACCTTTTAATTCGAAATTAAAACACCAATTTGGGTGGATTTACATAGAAAAAGCCCGGAATGACTTATACAGATTTATTTTACATATCGTGTAATCACAATATATTAAAAGACCACTTGAGCTCAATTTACTGTAATTTACAATTAGATCTTAATAATTGTATAAAAAGGCACACATCCGTTTTATGTTTACGTTTTTCATTGTGATTCTTTGTACCTTTTTAAGTTCTCACGGTTTCATACTAATAACAAACCATAAGAACAAAATAATGACACTGGAATATCCCCATAGAAAAAAACACTTTACATCACATTCCTTGCATATCAATAACATAGGTCTACAAGATTTTTTTAGATTTAACCTCGCTTTTTCCCAATTTATAATAAAGCTAACTTTAGCATGTGTCTAATAAAAAGGAGTGTCTAAGAAACGAGTTTCATACTATACGCTAAAGAAATATCGGGTTTTCGCAACGCGCGCGCTATCTGGTGGGCTTCGATAGCATTGCGTGAATTTAAGAATTGTCAACAATACATTTAAAGCACATTTTTAAATAATTATGTAGTTTTTTCTCAAAAGAGGGGAAGGCAGAAGTCTTACTCGACAAATTTTGTTCAGTTGAACAGCTAAATCGCGCACGTTATTTGTGTTTTACGTTGCAAGGAAAAAAATAAAAAACTTTTTTAGTACTTGATTTCGATTGCTTATTCCTTAATGATTAAGAAACTCAACTTTTAAATGCTTTACCTAATATAATTTATATTTAAGTTTAGACATTTTTAAGAAATTAGTAAAAAATAATTTTTGCACAAACATAACCTTAAAATCAACCATTTTTATATTTGAGTTCTCTAAAAAACGCCGACAACTGCATTTTAAACAACAAAATATACCTACGAATTCATGGCAATACAATATTATAATACATAATATAATGGTATTTTACCGTTGAGTGGAGACTTTAAAGAATTCTTAATCAACGCTTTTTGTAATGCTAAATGCTGTTTAAATTTAAACAACTTATTTGTTCGACGATTTTTACTGAATTGGTATGTTTACCCTTTTCACGTTAATCACTACTAAAATGTGTATTTATTGTATCTAATAGGTACAATTTATATTTGCAGAAACTGTATGCAATTTATTTCTTTATTCAGATTAACACTGTTTATTGGAAAACCGGTAAAAACTCAACCCAGAATTTCCTCTCGAAATACACCCAACAACACAACAAATCGAGCCACGGTTTTTTTTCCGATATTTTTTTAACATTTTCCGGTTTTATTCTCAAAAATACTCGTGTGTAACATAAGCGTTTTACAGCTGATTATTAAAAGCGGTACTTTTGTTACGATGATAACAGCCGAGTGGTGGCGCTACTAGCGATACTTCTTTAGCGTATACTTTATCTACGACAAACATAAACAAAATTTAAAGCCACTTTTATTTGTTAAAAATTTGACATCTGTCAACTGTCACCCGAATTGGACCTCATTTTTTCTCAATGCATAGATAAAATCATTAGTCGACTATGTTTTTCAAAATGTATGTTTACATATATACAGTTTATACGAGTAAACTGTAATCTAGGTAGCCTAATTTAAACAGATTGTTGGCTTGAAAATTTTGGTTTAGAAGACGAAGTCATCGATTATTTATTGGCTTAAAGCTAAAGCGGATTTCTTAATCCTTTCTCTCACGTCAATTTGTTGATGTCTTTACTAAAAGTGATTAATTTAACAAGATTTGTGTTTTGGAGCACAATAGATCCGTGGAAAATTAATGGCGAGAACCTAACGAGCAGAACATTTCGTATTATCGTTCAATTTAAATATGAAAACCGTTCTGCTAATAAGTAGTCAAAGTAATAAATTTTTATTGAAATAATTTATTATTCTATTTTTGCAGACATTTATTACTCAGAATAGGTACAGCTGAACAAATTCCCAATAAAATATTAGCTTACGCCGCGCGAAACGCTTTCAACGTATTGCATTTTAATTTACGACTACTTTTAAGTATTATTTCTGTTTGGAAGCAGCAGTTAGACAACGTATTTATTGATAATATTGTTTTACTACTATTAACTCTTTTCGGTCATAAAATCATTGTTTCAAATTAAATTTTACCTTTAAAAATGTTGGTGTTCGAAATGGTGTAACTTCTGAACGACTTGACCGATTAAAGCCAAATTCCCACGATATATTTGTTTCGTCGAGACAATGGTTCATAGCTATACTAGGATCCGATAGGTGGCGCTCTTGTCAATTTATTAACTGATATATTATGGAGGTTTGGACAGTACAGCATAAATAGCGATAGGTACCAACTTGCAAAAACAAAATTTACTTTGTCATTTTATTATGTTTATTTAAGAAAAAACAATTTTCTAAATAAAAATATAATTATTTTTTATTTTAATACAAAGGGCACTATATACATATACAGTGTGACCCATTAAATTTGTGACCCAACAAATTTTGTTTGCGACTCACCCCTGTAAAATCTTTATTTATTGTGAGATTTTAACCGGATTTGATTTAAAGTGTTACACTACAGTAGATCTTAATAAACTGTATTTTTGGAGCAAAAGACGCCATATATGGCGTAAAGTAAAAAAATGCACAATAATAACAACAAAATTTATTTTGTCAAGTTATCCATGAAAAAACATTGAAATAAAATTAAACTAATAGTAACATGGTACTATTACTATAAGTTTAAATTTATTTCAATGTTTATTTCATGGATAACTTGACAGAATAATTTTTTTTTAGATAATATGGTGCATTTTTTTACTTAAAATATTTCAATAAAATTTAGTAAAGGGTCGTTTTAAGGGGTGGTGAATCCAGTGCCGTGCTTAGATTTTGTTTAAAAAAATTGCTAATATGCATTCTTAAAAATTTACTCTTAAAAACTGCCTTGTAATTTGTACTTATAAATATTAGTACAAATTACTCTACTCTACTTATAACTAATATCGTGCCCGAGCCCTCCTAATAAATTAATCCCGGCGCATTCGCCATTTTTGGAACAAAAGGCTGTGAAGTTCCAACACGGAGGTTAGCAGCTAGGTAAAAATAAAAGTTTCGAATTATAAAAACGAAATAACCAAATAGAATTCAATTAAACAGTTTTTTAAATAAATGACATATAAAGGTTTAAAAATATGTTTAAGTCTACTTAAGGAAGTTACTGAACTAATTAATAAGCTTGACTTGGGTGCAAGGGTATAAAAAGGCAAATAAAAGTCTAATAGGCGTACCGAATCGTCTTCAATTAACCCGGTTGTCGCGAATAATCCTCTTTAACTGTACTGATTTGGAACAATTCCGTGAAATTTGCTTTAAAACGCTTTAATTGTCAGAGATACGGCTTGACACTGGAACTGGTAGACTAATTTAATACCGGCCCTAAGTCCTGTTGAACACAGGAAAGAAAATGTCGGATAATGAGTTTGACTCGTTACCTCTGCTCTCCGTTTTATGTTTTAGCTTGTATTTTTCCATCCATTTCGCTCGGCGAATAGGTTCCCTTCATTTTCCGGATGAAGATCCGCAACCACAGACAATGTTTTTACCTGAGTTTAGAATACAAAGGAAATACTTTCATGTAAATCAACAAACAGCTTGGTTATAAGTTTAATTTTTAATAGGCCCAATAAGCAGTTAAATCTCTTAAAACCAGACCGTAATGAACGTTTAGAAACGAAGTTGCCTACTATCTATTCACATTCACATATTAAAAATGTACTTACCATCTCTGTACCATTTGACCTGAGGATCGGGGGAACCCCCGAGACTGGAACATGTCAATTCCTGTCTTTTTCCTTCTGTCACAGTTACATGTGGACTGGGGGCTATTTGGGGTTCTTGCGGGGCTGTCAGTACAGTCAAAGTGTAACGTTGAACGTGGATGGTCTCTCCAGAACCGGCCACCTTGACTTTGCACTCAAACTTTCCATTATCTCGATCGTAGCTTGCGTTGGAGATCAGGAGATCATAGATGCCTTTTTCTGGTTGATAATTTAGTCTGAAAAAGTATAAAAATAGTTGAATATGTAATTTTAACTGGACAGCATTATTATACGAACAGCTAATGACAAATTATGTCTTAAACTACTAATTAGCCTCATGGAATGTTTCAAAGTTACGTGACATTTTGTTGTACATATTTTCTTCACCTAATAATTATAGTCGCGTTTAATTCTAAAAATGACTTTATAATTACGTTCCCAGCTAGTCGGTATAGGTTTTTGGTAAAAATGTACTACACGCTCGTTTTTCTTCGCCTAACATTTTAGACATTGTTCATTGAATATTTTGCCTGTGGCGTCGCCTGGTATGAGGAACACGTATTCGCTCATTCATCAGCCACAATACGGGACGTGATATGTTGCACTAAATTCTTACCACAAGACTATTTTTAATAAAAATCTCGACAGCGCTATAGCAAGCTTATAATATTAGTAAATAGTTAATAATTCCAAAAACATACCAATGCTCAATAGCCCGATAACGAAAATGGGAACGTAAACCTAAACGGTAATGGTGGAAGAGACCAAGCAAACACTGTTAATTGACAGCTTGGTCTTATTATTTAAATTAATTTAATACAGCTAAAAGGCCAAAAATGTTATGTCAAATGTAAAACAATAAATCACTAAAAACATTAGTGCAACACGAATTTAGCGTTTAAAACCCTTAGGCAAAAGTAAAAAGGCCATCAAGATAAACACGATAGAAATCCGGACGTTACAAAGCGTCGTTTTTATTTTTAATTGCGAAATCATAATCAACTTTAATGATTGTTTGCCAAGTTGCATCAAAACTATCCTTCCTGTCTTTAATTCCGCCCCACACGAATTGCAAAGGCAGTCGTCTATTTTTTTCAGGTAATGAGTTGACAAACTCGGCAAAAGAGTGCCGTTAAAATATTTATAGTTTTTTTCTTCGCTCGCTTTAGACTGAGAACAGTGGGAATGGAAGCTGTGGGCAAACAAAATTTTAATTAAAATTAATAAATTCGAATTTCCTAATGCGCATTTAAAAGAATTAGTCGCCTATAGTAAGGAGGAGAAGGGCCTCTAAGGCTTTTCGAAGATAATTGCCAATTTTTGAGACTCTGAGAAAGTTATAATGAGTTGTAGACTCAACAAACTTGCCTGTCTGTAATTATTTTCCCTGAAAATTTATTCTTCCTTAGTTTCGAATTACTAGTGAGAAAACTTAACAGTTTGTATTTAATACTCCTAATTATTGATACTTAAAACTTTTCCAGTGTTTCGTCCTTTATATTAATTTACTACGATTTTTTATTATTTATTTTATGATGCTTTTTAGTTAAGAATGCATTTTAGCTATTTTGGTTTGTAATCATTTAGTTATAGGTAATTCTAGCATTTAACATTTATCTTCTTTAACAACAGCCGCTTATTGTAAATATGTAAATTAAGGACGGCATGGCGAATCTATTTTGACATTAACTGTCAAACCAATGACTGTGATACCAACTATCTAAAGTAAAATTCGACCAAATTAAATTTGGTGTATAAAATTAATATTTTTATAGAATTTTTGCAAAATAGATAAAATAGCATAATGAACTCATGTCATAAGACCTTTTGTCGCGTGCGACAAAATTACGTCTTATGACATTCGTTCTTTAATATACTAGAAGACAATTCAAAATGGCAACAAAAATATCTTAAGTCATTAGTGTTTAAAAAATCGTTTATGTTTACTTACTTGTAATTGTTGTCGAGTGGTTCGCTGCCAATGGCAACGCTGTCATGGGTTTCTTTGATATGTTTGGTCCAATAAAAAAGCGTTTTCTCCGATTGCAAGGAAAATCTGCATTCCAAAGTGACATCTTCCTTTTCTCTTGTGTCTCGCGTGACGTCATCGGCTCTCACCATGACACCTGCAAAAAAAAAGAATTATTAGAGAATATTGTGATTTTAATTATTGAATTCAAATCATCAATGTTTACATAAAATTTTGAAATTATTAAAATTAAAATTCCGACGGCGTTTCCGTTTAAAAATTTAATCGAAACCCGCTCAAATTGAATTAAACACTGAATATAAATAAATTGAAATAAAAATGAAGGTTTTATTAATAATTGTGTTTTTGTTGGAAAAAATAAATCCAATTCAATCTAGATTTTTGTTCACCTATGTGAAACCAATTACAAAGCTTGTAAAATTTATTCATAAAAATACGCTTTTAATACCACTTTAAAACCATGTGGGTATATGACTTGAATGCAACTGAAAAATAATATTCATGTATGTTTATAATTTCGTGTTAATTTTTTTTAATTTAAAAATGCATGTTTTTTATGAGAATAATCTATATAGGTAGGTATGTAGTAAATATTTCTGGCTTGGAAAAATTGTTATGACTGGTAAATTTTATTGCGGCTGACATGTGCAGAAAAATTTCATTACGCGCAAATTGAACGTATTTTAGCCAAACTTTGCGAGTTATTACGCCATTTATCCAATAAAATCGGAGCTCCTAAAACGCTGACATTTTAATTTTATGCCCTATAATTTCCAGACAAAACACTACCTTGCAATCGATATATCTGTAATTCTAAAAATAACAATCAATTGAGGGAAGGACATCTAATGTTACGTTATAAAAGGTAAACGTTTTTATTATCTGCACACATAATAATAAAAATAATAAAATTACTTACTCGTTTAACACGTACTTACGCCCCTGCACACATAAATGGCGAATCGATAACAATTATGATATCTATAACCATGAATTTGCTTCCAACTATCACGCAACCAATTTTATAAATAATAATGAAGTTAAAGACAAGTTTATAAGGGTGCAAAAACTTGTGGAATTATATAAATTTTGAATTTAAGATATATTATCTTAGGGCGATAAATTCTGGGTCTTCATACTTTACACTATCTAGTTTTAAGACCACTCTAAAATTTGTAAAGTAAAAAAAGTATAAAAAACGTTTTAATAATAATAATTTTCTGATATCTGAGAACTGTGACATTTGCCAGGTACGACCATAAAGTTCAAAGAACAGATAACGCTAAAACGTTGTTGTCAAACTCGTTTTCAATGGATTTTTATTCCTTGTTTGAATTAATTTCGTTCTAGGAACACACTACGTTACATAACATCGTACATTTATCAACGCAACAAATTATGTTGTATACCGTATTTAATGGAACATCTCCTAATAAACATGTCAAATCGTCTTTGGCCAAATAAGTGTAATATAAATAAAAACAGGTGATTTATTTTTATCTAGTTGCTTTAATTTTTTTACCACGGGTCACGCGATGCGAGTATGCAATAAAATATCATCGTGTGTTCGGTTTTTTTTATCAAATATGTTCAGATATTCATCATATTATTCGTGAGGTCTTGTATCTTCTCAAATATTATATACGACGTTTTTGTACACGAAATTCACTTTTTTGGTCTGATGCCACACGAACATGCATATTTTATCAAGATGACATGGTTTATGGCTTTAATATTTTTTATTATATTTGTAATTTAGGGTCTCTCAAAACTACGCAGCCGAAAATGGTATAGTAAGTAAGTAAAAAGGTAAAATAAAACAAGCTAAAATCATAACAAGATAGAATGATAACAATAAAAAAATTACAAGATAAAATGACGACAAGAGTAAAGGATGCAGGTTAGAATAATGACAAGCTAAACTGATAACAAGCAAAAATGGTAAACAAGATAAAATTAAGACAAAATATAATTATAATAAGGTAAGATGATTACGAGCTAAAATAATGACATGCTAAAATGACAACAAGATAAAATGATGCTAGCTGGAATGTTGATAAGGTAAAATAATAGATAAAGATAAAAATGACAAGCTAAAATAATGAAAAAATAAAATGACGACAATCTAAAATGATACTAAGCTTAAATGATGCATGTTAGAATAATGACGAGCTATTTTAGCTAAAGTAAGGACATTCTTGAATTAGGCCATTTTAAATAATGGCAACATAGAATGACGCAAAGATAAAATGATGATAGCTAGAATGTTGATAAGGTAAAATATTAGAAAAGATAAAAATGACAAGCTAAAATAATGACAAAATAAAATGACGACAATCTAAAATGATACCAAGCTTAAATGATGACAAGATAAAATGATGCATGTTAGAATAATGACGAGCTATTTTAGCTAAAGTAAGGACATTCTTGAATTAGGCCATTCTAAATAATGGCAACATAGAATTACACAAAGGTAAAATGATGATAGCTAAAATGTTTATAAGGTAAAATAATAGATAAAGATAAAAATGATAAGCTAAAATAATGACAAAATAAAATGACGACAATCTAAAATGATACCAAGCTTAAATGATGACAAGATAAAATGATGCATGTTAGAATAATGACGAGCTATTTTAGCTAAAGTAAGGATATTCTTGAATTAGGCCATTTTAAATAATGGCAACATAGAATGACGCAAAGATAAAATGATGATAACTAGAATGTTGATAAGGTAAAATAATAGATAAAGATAAAAATGACAAGCTAAAATGATGACAAAATAAAATGACGACAATCTAAACAATAGAATGACAATATACAATGATGATAAGTTAGATGATATTAAGTTAAAATGACAGGATAAAATGATGCATGTTAGAATAATGACGAGCTATTTTAGCTAAAGTAAGGACATTCTTGAATTAGGCCATTTTAAATAATGGCAACATAGAATGACGCAAAGATAAAATGATGATAGCTAGAATGTTGATAAGGTAAAATAATAGATAAAGATAAGAATGACAAGCTTAAATGATGACAAGTTAAAATGACAAGAAAAAAATATGCATATTAGAATGATGACAATCTATTTCAGCTAGAGTAAGGACGTTCTTAAATTAGGGCATTTTAAATAATGGCAACATAGAATGACGACAATATAATATGATGACAATATAAAATAACAACAAGCTAAAATATAAACATTCCGAATAAGGACGAGCTAGGATAATAACAGTAAAATTATACAAGATAAATTGTGGGCAAACTCGATGACCAGCTAAAATGAAAACAGGCTTATATGACGACAAGATCAAATGAGGCGTACCTATATATGCAATTCACTTTTTGGTAAAATTTCTAGTTTTCGGCAATGTGCATTCTTTTTTATGTTGTTTAACTTTGCTCATTGCATTACTAGATAGCACTATATTTTTAGAAATGATGGGTAAATATTTTTTACATTATAATTTCAAGAATAGCTTAAATGATATCAAGATAGAAAACCTACAAGATAAAATAATGAAAAGCTAGAATAATAACAAGCTAAAATTGTGACATTCCAGATAAAAACAAGCTAGAATAGGAACAAGCTAAAATGACGAGATAAAATAACGACAATATAAAATGATGACAAGATAAATTAACTACAGCTAAAATGGGGAATTTCTAAATGAGGACAAAATAGAATAATAACAAAGTACAAGTCAATATGACCAACTTAATAATCATTTCTCACCCATGCCTGTAAAATGATGCCTTAAATTATTTTTATCAAATGTAATTTTTATATTGGCAAAGCCAGACGATGTCTAGAATAGTATATTAAAGTACAAGTTGCAGAAGGCCACATATTCTCGCACGAATTCGAAATTTGGCCTCGAGCGACGAAGGAGCGAGTGGACGAACGAATGAGTGCGAGAATAGCCTTCTGCAACGTGTGATTTATACTATTTTCTCGATTTTAACTTTTATTTAGGTTTTTTTAATTGTTTTGTGGTCGTTGTTAGTTAGGGGATTTTTCTCGCAAAATGTCAGTTGGCAACACAAAATGACAATATTTGTTATCCTGCACAAGTACAACCTGAACTGCACTTTTACACATTAAACTTAAAATTTTGCATTAAAATGCATTGTTGGAGCAAACTTTATATTACAAAACAATAATAAAGGCTTCATTTTCAATAAAAGTAATGAATTTGAGGTTATTAATCAGTTTGACATTTTGGGGGTACCAATACTTAAAAACTAAATGTTACCAAAAATCGTTTAAGAATGAGCTTCATTCTTCAACGATTTTGCGTGCGAGAATATGACATTCTTACATAAAAATCGAGAAAATTAATTTTGATCCTTGACGTATACTCCTTAAAAACATAATAGAGAGCACTTATCGCAAATTCGTGCCATAAATAAAATGCGATAGAACCATATATGATACAAGAACGTTTCGGTTAATATAAATAAGGTAAGTGGCAATAAGTGTTTAAAAAGCGCCACCTTCTACATGATAAATGTGATACGTTGGATACGTCAATCTGTAGCGAAAATTCAGAGAGTCTCGGAAGGAAAAAAAAGCCGCTTTACGGGCTTAAAAAAAGTTTTACTCTCTCAGACGGCGGCAGCATTTTTTCTTCACTGATGAGAGAATATGTCTAATAAATAAGAGCAGTTCGGATGAGGTTTCTTTACAAAGTTATATCTCATTTATTTCACTAGTAAAAAATAGTCGAATGATATTAAAAATGAGTTCAAAACAAACAAATGTAAAAAGTTGATGAAAGGAGCTGTGATTCATTTTTTTTGAGGCGTCAACAAAAAGAGGTAATTTTCCAGTTGGCTTCTGATTTAAAGGAAGAATGGAAGATGTTAACGGCTAGAGACTAGTCGAGCGTTAAGAAGAAATCGTGCTGCTTTTACTCTATATGAGATTAATTCGTGTTTTATTGGTCACGTGGTCGCGATTACGGACCTCGACACCGCAAACGCGTGCTAAAATGTTTTGTTGTTTTGTGAATGATGATCGTCTTCTTTAATGGGGTTCCTATACGATTGTATTAACATTGTATTAATGATGAAAGTGTAATAAGCATTTTGGGAAATGAAACAAAATTTTCCATGAAAACTTTTCGAATT